ACAGGTCTATGCCTTACTCATCTCTTACTCATCCTATGGTGCGATACGTCGCAATTCTTTCGTCGTTGTATTATTCATCGCACTATGGTACATGTGACTAACCACTCTTCGATTAGTCATGGACTCTTCTCTGTAGTATATAAGGACTTCAGATTGCGTCCTCCCTCTTCAGTCTTTCCTTACTGACTGAAGAGTGAGTACTTCGTTATCTCTACCTCTAACTTGTAGTTACTTACTTGATCCTTTGTAGTCTTGCTTCGACTCTAGGTACAGTTGGTTACTGCAATATAGTCTTTCCTTACTGACTGAAGATCTTGCTTCGACTCTAGTCGGATCTAATCCTTGTCTTCACAGCCCCGAGTTTATCAGTGCCTAAGTCCCTCCGGAACTCCGTCGGACACCGCGCTAACTCCGCCGGACCTCCGGACTTGCTTACGAATAGACACTTACGTACTAGTTCCGATTCCCTTTCCGTTTCCTTTCCGTTCCCCGCCGGGGCCCATATGGCTTTCCGAGTGTCTACCCTAGCTCCGCTGGAATGTCTGTTTTCCCATATCAGTGCCTGGCGCCACTTACATCACTTCTCCACTTAGTGTCGGTATTCTGCCACCTCCGATCGGACCTCCACCTCCGATTCGGACTTAGGGGACACCGGCTTCTTAGTATATAAACCCCCCGGACTTAGTGCGGTGTTCCTCAGTTCGGATATCTTGTTACCTTATGCTCTGTTTGTACTCTATCAGTCATCTTACTCCAATCTACTCTCCTTGTCTCCATCCGTTCTCTGCCGACCTCCATCCGATCTCTGTTCGATCTCTGCCCGACCTCCAACTCCGAAATCGAGGACACCGTCGGGACCCTCAGGGTGTTGCCAATAGCTTCGCCGAAGTCCTCTCCCCGTGTCCACCCAGCTCCGACCCCGAACCCTGGAACTCTGGAACTCCGACGGCACAGTCCTAACATGGTGTTCGATTGTGGTCATTGCCAGTGGGTGCCACATTCACCAATACCAGGCAATACCAGCAAGATCTTGCCAGTATTGCCTGGTATTTCGGGAAATTACCTTATCATATAACCTATTCAGGATGATTGGGCTAGAATGGAATCCTGACAAGGTGCGCCCAACATTCCCTCAATGTCACGTGGTATTGCTATTGCCTGAGTAGGCGTGAGTAGGCAATATACAACAACATTTATACAGTTTCGCTGATGTTAGGGGGTCCCGGCGAACAGATTAGACGCCCAAGGAGGGCATGAGGATATTGCTTGAAACAACATTGGGTCTACCAAACCCAGGGCGAAAATTGGTGAGGGAGTTTGTGTAAACTGAGGATCATGATGATAAGGTGTGATTTATGTCCAGCGTTGAGAGATAGGCAAGGGAGGTGAAGCACACCATGTATAGAGTCCTTTTGCAAGCGATGCAAAGCCTATGGGGATATGCTCGATATCTGCACTCGTGGTGCACTGGATGCAAATCCGTTGCAAGAGCACAGTGTTGCGGACACTTTCGATTTGACTTGTTTCGATGTACCTTGGTCGCGTCAGGGGTCGTATTTCTCAGCAATATACGGATACGCAGCGCTACGGTGTTTCCGCAAGCTCAGCGTATGAACGTCATTGAAAGGGTGTCGATGAGGTAGTGGACAGCGGCGTGTTGACTTCGTATCAAATAAGGAAAGATGTTAGGGTAAAACCCGAGGATACCCAGACCAACGGGGTATCCGGGTTATGACGTCCCTGACATACGACCCTGTGACTCAAATCACGTCGTCGGTCCATTCTTCCGGGACACATGTCAGAAAACAGAGGATCAGGAGATAAGCTCCGGGCAGGCATTGAGGAAATAATCTGTAAATGATGATTGTATCTATCCCTTGTCTGCTCCTTTGACAAAACTCATAAGAAATGCTATGGTTTGAAGCCACAGAACGTTACACGTACAATGTAGGTGTCAGTGCTGCAGGTGCTAGCGCCGTCGGCAAACTGCAGCACTTGTCACTTGCCCTGTGAGACCCGCAAACGTTCAACCTGCAGCATCTTCGCTATCGTTTGTCGCCGACCGTATATTATCACCTTGCCATCCCCCAGATCTCGTCAGGCCTTCCCCTGTTTTCGCAACTTAACCCCGACAACCTCTACCCGTCCACTCTTACCATGCTGTCCCAGTCCAACCCCAACGTACAGACGGTCGACGCAGTGGACATCGACGTGGACATGCACGACGTCTGGGAATCGAACGACGCTGATGTAAGTAGTATCACCCACTTTGCGCAGCCCATCCTCAGTGCGTTCTCCAGTCACTGGCGAATGCGTTGGCCGACACAGCTGCCAAGCTCGAGCATTGCCAGAAAGAAAACGAGTCCCTCCGCCAGGAGCTCACCCGCGTTCAAGGACAATCTTCCACCAGCGCCCCCATCACCCGCGTCCGCATCCTCGCCGGGTATCTCTCCGACGCATGCCGTTGCAGTTTTGCCGGATGTCCGTACGCCCGCCCCCATGGCCCTTATGTGTACGTATGCTATCTCTAGGCTTTCAATCTTCCACGTACCTGTTTTCCATAGATATCCTTGCGGCCACAGGCTCTGCCACGGATGCGTTCGCAACACCTCATCCACCAATCATGATGCCAACGGGACCCGGCCTCACCCTCGCTGCCCAACGTGTGGCAAATGTCTTGATTCTGGCCGACTGCCGTCCCGGATGGATGGGTCCCGTGAGTTTGAGGACGCCCTCCTTGCGCTGAAACAACTGTAATTCATCCATATCTCTCGTTTGTACTATCGCGCTCCCGTTGAAACAATGATGATGACTTTGATTGCTTGACGACCACCCAACGTAACCCCATGTCGAGATACCCCGTTCGAATACTTTCTGTCACTACCAGTAAGCTGTACATGTTTTTGAGCAGTGTCTAATTGAACGTCGCTTTCATGGATGTATCTAAACGCAGAGAAGGTACCCTTCCCCCCACGCCATCATGCACAGGACGGACACGCTGCGCCAGCCCGTGCATCTGCCCTCTGCTCATTCCAGGCCCCTTCGCGTGGCTCCCCATGCCCCTGCCCATCGCACCGCAGAAAAGTCCATTTTCCCAAACAGCGTCCTTTGTACCCTCCGGCATGCTTGAGAAATAGTCCCGCACGAGCTTGTCGAGGTATGTACCATACTCTTCTGAGAGCTCCGCAATGGACTCAGACGTGCCACCGAGCCACGCTGCCATATTGACGTGCGCCTCGTTATGGAAATACTCCGGGTCGCCCAGCGCGATGTTGTCGCGGATCGACAGAGGAAAGTAGGTGTAGTCCTGGAAGAGGACAGACGGCGTCGCGGAGGTCAGGGAGGCGGAGTGTGCGGATGTCGTGGCCGTCGAGGAGGATCTGGCCGTCGAAGGGGTCATAGAGGCGCACGACAAGCTTGAGGATTGTGCTCTTGCCAGAGCCGTTTGCATCAACAATGACACAGAGCTGGCCGGGAAGGAGTTTGAAGGAGACGTTTTTGAGGGCGTATTGGTCTGAGCCGGGATATTTGAACGATACATTTCTGCAAACGGGCGAGGGTGAGCATGCTTGGCACAGCAAGAGTTTAAAGCAAGCAGACTTGAACTCGAGCGAGACTCCGTGTCGTAGCTTTTGGGCGTCTTCAGGAAAGGGACCTTCGCCGTCCTCTACGCGATTCGGGATGTTGGCAACTTCGTAAAGTTTCCGAATCGTCGACAACTGCTTGGTGATTTAGCTCATCTGATCGAAGAAACGTCACACTGTGAACGAGAAGTGCGACATGGTCTGCCGGAGCAAGTTCAAGGATGCCAAGGAGACGGGCATGGACGCCGCATCCTGGACGCCGCACAGGGTGAATACGATCCGCGGTAGCTCACGCAGGGGGTCCTGTAAGAAGCCAAAGGGGTTGAAACCATTCCTGCGGCCTCGCGCACGACGACGACAATGATGGTACATACCAGAGCGATGCAGCGGGCAACAGGGCCTGACTAATCTCAGCCAGCGTGTAGGCGACAAGCAACCACCAACAGCTCCGTATTGAGAGTATGTCGTGGATCATCCGGAGCAAGTATGGCAAGCACTCGTATGCCGCGAAAGCCTTCTCGGCGGAGGACGAGCCCGGGACATGAGCGAGGGAGGGATTGATTTCTTCATAGAGATCCCGACGCCAATGCGGGTGTGCTTGACGCGGGTCGGGTCGTGGGGGTCAAATGTGCCTGGGCGGGTCGACCGCGGACGGCGGGAGCCTCTGCCCATGGTGTCGTGTGATGAGTAGGTTGTGAGGTCGAGTATCAAAGCAGTCGTTGCAGCGGCACAGCAGGGAGATCAAGCGGAGGTTTCAGCAGCAGCGCCAGCGTTGCAGTCGTTGAGGGTATGAATCAAGAAGGCAAACCGAGGTCGTGGCAGTCGTGTGCGCCGTGGTCGTGGTGGTCGCCGGCGCTGCGAAGAGCAGCCGCAGCGTCGCTGACGTCCAAGACTGCACTTCCCGATCGGGAACAACTGACGCGTCCTGCAAACGGGTCCTCCTCGGCGTCGGCCGTCTCATCCGCCTGGCACTCCTCCTTCATCCTCCATTCTGATGGTAAGCACGTACAAAGTGACAAGAGGAGGACATGCACTTACAGCTTCGATAGGACTCCCTCCGCATCGTTCCCGGTCGCGAGACCAAGCCTGCAACCGTCCAGGACACCAGCAATAGCTTCGGCCTCCGCGATACCTTCAACTATGGCCCTCGCTGTCTCGCAGCGGAGGTCACCAAGACGAGCACAGTCCGCGGCCGTCCAGACAACGTGTGCTCATGCGTTCCTTTCTTGCACATACATGAAGCTCCAGATGCAGCGACAACTCTTCGGCCTGCACATGTCCATGCGCATCCTCATGGAACGCAAGATCGTCAGCCAGGTGTGTCCTGACTTCCCATTCGTGCTTTGCCTGCAGAGCCTCGATCCGTGTGTGCGTGCCACAGAACCCGCACATGCCTATCCTCCCCCAATTCAATCTCCACCTCGACATCCTCATGGGCCGCGACGAGGTCCTCCATTGCGCAGACTTTATGGGCTCAGGTACATCCTCGATTCTTCCATCGTTGTTTGCACTACTGACTTGGGCGGACAGCGGCGGAGATGCTACAACCCATGGACATCCACTCCGACATGGAGAAGATGCTTCGCATGTAAAGTACTAGTCTATGTAGCCTATGGCAGATGATGTCTACGACTCTACGTGCGGTGCCTCGAGCGCCTGTTCCCACCGTCTCTGGTCCTTCCCGCCACCTTCGTTCCCACCGTCCTTCGTCACCGTCGATATCTCCTTCGTAACGTCCGACTACCTGACTTGCCAGTGGTTACCCTGTGACTCACGATATCTGTGCGACACGGGACTCTGTCGCGTCGTTCGCCATCGTTCCCGGAATGGCCTCCCCAATCCTCACCAGGTCCCCCAACGTCATTCTCCCAACGTCCCCGCCCAATAGCAGCTTCACCATCACAAGATCCTGCCTTCCGCGAGCGCATGCAGCATCTCATTCAGGTGCGTATTCCCTGCCGGACGACGCCTGTATGCGCCCAACGTCACTCACTTCTCTTCATCTCTCCCTCTCCGCAGCGCGCAAACCAGCCCTGGGCTGGCGACGCTACTGTACAGAACAACGAGGAGTTTGCGAAGATATGGACGTCTTGCTTCAGGGATTGTCGACTTGTCGCAGACCGACTAGACCGTGCGGAATCTCGTGCAGAAGGGCTTCGGGCACACCCTCGAGTCCGGGGCGTTGGAGGTCTCCGAGGACACAGACAACGGTCGAGATGCGTACGTCGCGATGATCGGTCCTACCTGTGGACCACTGCTTACTCAAGCACAGATGGGGGCTTCGGAGGTGTTGTGCGGACGCGGTGGAGAAGGATTGGGTTCGGAGGACGGAAGTGCGAGGGAGATGGAGCGTCATCCAGAATCTGCAGCAGCGACAGAGTGAGTTCTCGCCTCTTCTGGTATCCTTTCTTTCCTCTTTCCCGTCCTTTCTGCACCATCGCTTGTGCTTCGATATCCCTCGCCGCCTCAGACGTCGCTGAGCAATCGCTGACTCAAAATGTCATCTTAGGGCAAGAACAGGCTGCGGGTGACCACTCGATTCAGGAGTGAACGGTCGAGCCCTCCATGGTACCCATAGGGAATGGCGTATCCGCCACCAACGGCAACACTCTGACAGCAGGGCGCGTTACCAATCAACCCTATCCCCAAACGCCGCAGACCCCCGTATCCTTCACTCCCGACCAAATTAACGCAATCAACGCACAAACTCACGCCTTCATCTCACGCGGCATGTCTGTACCGGAACCGATCCAGCAAGCGATCCGCGTGCCGAACCAGGCTACCCCGACCTGCAACCCCTCTTCCACGGTGTCGATGTGAACGCGCGCGTCCTTGACAGCGCAGTCGAGACGCATGAGAACGCGAACGGCACCCTCGTCAACGGCGTCGTCAAGCATCCTCCCGTTACAGAGATCACGCCGGCACCCCCGTAGACGATTAAGCGAGAGGAGATCGAGGCGGTCGACCCCGAGAAGTTGCCGAAGGGGGCATTACTCGAGGAGGACGTCAACTCGGGTTCTATCCCTACAATGCATGCACGCTCCCATTCATCTTCCTGAAGCGCGATCCGGAGCTGATCTCGGCGATTTGGGCGATGAAGATGCGGCGACTACTTGTCCCGTCATTTATGCCCGACGGCGTAGACCCGCACCAGACTCCCGAGGAGCGCAACGCGTACATCGACGCACGGATCGAGCAGCGGATGTGAGAGCTAGAGGCGATACTAGCAATGATGGGCGACGGCGGTCTGGAGAATTCGCTTGACGACGCTGAGAATGCGGAGCCGCAGTCGCTCGAGCATCTTGCTCACATCCACCTCCAACCTCCCACCCACGGGAAGCTTCGTGCGCACATTGAGCTGAAGGCGCTGCGCGTCGTCGATGTGGCAGCTGCGTGCGTCGCTGTTGGGATGGCTCGTGCATGGAACGCTGCTCCTGCTGAACCGCGCGGACTTCCGGATGACGAGGGAGGCCGTCATGCGTCAGGGCAAGGCGGTGCTCAGCTTCCACGCGCATGCGGAGAAGGGGTAAAGGAGCAGAGGCGGATCGAGCGGCTGGCGTCTGAAGGCACTGAAGAACGGCTCATTGACACCGCGAAGGACACGCGCATCACGCATCTGTTGAAGCAGACGGACGCGCGCTTGGACTCGCTCGCAGGCGGTCGCGGAGCAGCAGCGGTCAGAGGGGCACGAGGAGGTGGACTACGACATGTAGGAGGGCCCAGTGAGCGAGGCGACGTTCGACGCGAAGGCGTTTAGTCAGGAGGAGGATCATGGGAAGCTGGGCTACTATGCGGTCGCGCATAGGCTCAAGGAGAAGATTTTGATGCAGCCGAGCATCCTAGTGGACGGTACACTCAGGGACTACCAGCTGAAGGGTCTGCAGGGTCTGCAGTGGATGGTCACCTTGTACAACAACAATCTGAACGGTATCCTTGCAGACAAAATGGTGCGTTACCGCGATGTTGCCATATGTGCTATGGCTGACAGGGTTTCATGATAGGGTCTCAGGAAGACTATCCAGATGATCTCGCCCATCACCTTCTTCATTGAGTCGAAGAAACAGTACGGGGCATACCCTCGTCATCGTGCCGCTGTTGACCATTATCAACTGGTCGAGCGGGTTCGCGAAGTGGGCGCCGAGCGTGAAGATGATCTCGGACAAGGGCAACCCGGCGCAGCGAAAGGTCCTCCAGACGGACCTCCGGACGAGCAACTTCCAGGTCGTCCTCACCACGTACGAGTACATCATCAAGGAGCGGATTCATCTCAGCAGGATGAAGTGGATCTACATGATCATTGGTACAGGCTTCATTCCAAACGCGATATATGCGTCAGCATGCTTATTATACATTGCCTACAGATGAGGGCCACTGCATGAAGAACACGGAAAGTAAACTAGCACAGACGCTCACGCAGTACTACCGCTCCCGCTACCGCCTCATCCTCACCGGGACGCCGCTTCAGAACAACCTCCCTGAGCTGTGAGCGCTGCCGAAAGTCTTCAATTCTGGCAAGTCGTTCGACGAATGGTTCAACACCCCATTTGCGAACTCGGGCACGGGCGACAAGATCGAGCTGAACGAAGAAGAGGCACTACTCATCATTCGTCGTCTGCACAAGGTGCTGCGTCCGTTCTTGCTTCATCGTCTCAAGGACGTCGAGTCGGAGCTGCCGGACAAGATCGAGAAGGTGATCAAGGTCCGCATGTCGGCGCTGCAGTCGCAACTATACAAGCAGATGAAGAAGTACAAGATGGTCATGGACGTCGAGGACGCCAAAGGGTGCGTCATGGTAATTCACTGTAACGAGAGTGAATGTGTTGACGAGTTGCGTGATAGCGAACCGGGTGGCGTCTAGGGCCTGAGCAACGAGCTGGAAGATCTGCCAGCACCCGTTCTTGTTCGAAAGCATCGAGGACAGGGTTAACCCAAGCTCGATGATCGACGACAAGCTCGTTTGGAGCTCAGGCAAGATCAAGCTGCTCTCACGTATTCTGCCGAAGTTCTTCGCCACCGACCACAGAAGTTGCACGAAGTTTGAAACGTCCAGTGATTGTCAGACTAATGTCGCTACGTTAGGTCCTCATCTTCTTCTAGGTGACGAAGGTCGTGGATATCATGGAGGACTTCCTCAAGATGATGGGCTGGAAGTACCTCCGTCTCGACGGTGGTAAGAAGACCGAAGACCGTGCAGGTCATGTCCAGCTCTTCAACGCTCCCAACCCCGAGTACAAGGTCTTCATTCTCTCAACTCGCGCTGGTGGTCTTGCACTCAACTTGCAGACCGCCGACACTGTTGTTATGTGTGTTCCATTTGATTTCTCGTGGCCGATATCACGCTTATACCTTTTTATATAGCTTCGACAGTGACTGGAACCCCCATGCGGATCTCCAGGCGCATGACCATGCTTATCATATCGGTCAGACTGAGGTCGTCCATATCCTGCAGTTCATCACGGAGAAGAGCATCGAGGAGTCGATGTTCGCGCGCTCTCAGTACAAGCTTGACATCGATGACAAGGTCATCTAGGCCGGTCATTTCGACAAAAAGTCGACCCAGGAGGAGCAGGAGGAGTTCTTAGTACATAACTGATAACTCCTTACGAGGCCTTTCCTTACGCGTTGCTTTCAGTGTTCTACTCTTGAAGCCGATCAAGAGGAGAACGAGGAGGCAGGCAACATGAATGACGATGAGATTGTTGGAATGGGGTCGGCAGCGGCTAGCGAGGACCTGTACTCAGTCTGGTGCACGAAGTGTCAACAGCTGAGGAAAGGCCGGTATGGAGGAAATTCTCGAAAGGGAGTGACCGGGATAGTAAACACGAACAAACAAATCCGAAAGCGCCCAACCCATGCCGAACGGCAACGTAGTGGTACCAGGTCGTTGCCTGACGTCCGTAGCTCGGCATGGAGGTCGCGGGTACTACAGCGTCCGATGTAAGTAAGTACCGTATTCCAACAGAGATCAACGAGATCATTGCCCGTTCAGATGAGGAGGCCGTGATCTTCCACGAGATTGATTTTCGGCACAAACGTGACACTCTGGGAGGAATGTGTCACGGCGACTAGGCGCGTAGTGTCACGGACGTTGGACAGACGCCCCTTTTTGCCGCCCATTCCCCTCCCCTTGACGCCCACCTTCCATTTTCGGACCATTTCCTTTCTTAGCCCATCCCAGTTTGGACACTGTAGATACGTTCCCACACCCGCATGCTACGTTCCCCTTTGCCTTTTCCTTCCCGCCCTTTGTTCTCCCTTTGTCATCTTCACTGCCTCGCTCTCGCGCCTTGTCTTTGGTTGCTAAGCAGCCCTCCTAGTATATAAGGACCCCCTTAGGCACTCCCTAGTCCCCATCTCGACCTCTTGGTCATTGGGACTAGGTGAGTGACCATAGCGTTGTATCTCTCTTCGATTGCTAATGTATAACTTGGTCATTGGGACTAGTCTGTCGCTGTCTGTGTGAAGACTAGCTTTCGCAGGTCTTGTGCCCTTGTGCCAACCTCCGCTCTGCCCCCGTCGAGTTTCTTGCTACGTTTATCCCTCTCTATCTCTCTCTTTCCTTTTCGGCTCCTTGCCGCTCGCCTACAAGGTCGTCGCCGAACGTCGACCCGAGTCTACGCGCCTAGTCGCCGCGACATTAGGTCGAGATCTCTCCCCCGGTGCTGACGCTCTGAACAAGAGTGTCCCCGCCGCCGCTACATTGTCTCCCCCACCCTGGACTGCACCGGCAGACTTCACGCGTGGGACACAGAAGACCAAGACTACTGTCACCGACGGAAGGACCTAGACGGCGGACTCTGGTACTGGGTACCGTGCGAGCAAAACCCCTGCCCGAACCGTCATCACCGTCCTGCGCGGATCAACTGGAACGCCTTTGCGGACGAGTTCATCCCAGTCCCTGACTCCCCCATCGCTGAGTCACCCACGACTCGATCCCCTATCCCCGGCACTCCGACCGACGAGCTCAAAGTAGCGCTACTCATCGCGCTTCCCCCATCCCCTATCATCCCCCCAACCCGCCCACGGTCCGCTCCACCCATCATGGGACAACAAGGCGGACAACCGCAGACGACAGGCCCCGCCAACAATCCCCAGCAGACCCAACCGGGCACCCAGACGGCAACGCAACCCCCGGACCCCATGACGGTACTACTCCAATGGATGACCCTCCTCACCCAGTCTATGGCGCAGCTCGCCAACTCGACCACCGGGGCCAACAGCCTGAAGGCGGTTCAGAAGCCCTCTCCCTTCAAAGGCGAACAGGGGGGCGAAGCACGACGCTTCCTGGCTGCGTTCACTCCCTGGGCCATGTCCCAAGGATCAACGCTCAACCACGTGGACGCCACGGGCAACGCGATCAGCGCACGCGACGACCAGTGGATTCGGGCAGTCCTCTCCTTCATGCAGGACAGTGCGGCTCTCTGGGCCACTCCGGCGATGGAGGAGATCATGCAGGGCACCACCCCGTTCAAAGGCTTGTGGACGGAGTTCCGCACCCAGTTCAAGGCCCGATTCGAGACGGTCGACGAGGCGGTCGATGCGAAGGAACACCTCCGTACGTTGTGGCAAGGCTCCATGACTGTTCCGGAGTACGCCGCCCGGTTCAACGAGCTCTCCACCCGCACGGGCTACTCCAAGGCCGACCTCCGCGACCGCTTCTACGAGCACCTTGCGGACTCCATCAAGGACGAGCTGGTGCACACGGCAAGGCCCATCGCTTCTCTGGAGGACCTCATCACCGTCTCCTCCGACATCGACGTCCGTGTCCGCCAACGCCGTGCCGAACGGGATCGTCAGCGCGGACGCACCACCACCACCACCACCGCGGCCAAGCCGGCTGTTCCGCTGCATACCACCCCCTTCACACCGCCTGCCCGAGACCCGAACGCAATGGACATCGACGCGACCCGTACGCGCGAAGAGTTCAACCGCCTCATGCGCGGCAAGTGCTACGGTTGCGG